TAATTAAAGTAATTAATTTATTATTATTAATTGATGTTAATTGTTTTTTTAATTTAGGTTTTATTCAAAGATTGTACTCTCGTTAAAAAATTCACAGAAAGTTCAAAGTAATTCCTTATTGTATTAAATTACAATTAATATTAATGACCCTATGCTGTGTAATATGTTTGAGTCAATTCCGACTTCATTTTTAAAGTTATGGCTGTTTTTTAACATGGCCGATTTTTAAAAATTACCCAAGGCTATAGCCCATGGTTTTTTAAAAAAATGGCTGTAAAATCACCTCAAATTTTTATTACATTTTAAAATGCATATTGATGTCCTATGCTGTGTAGAAAGTTTGAAGTGATTCCGACTTCAATTTTTCAAGTTACAGCCATTTTAAGAAAATGTCAAAAATCTGAAAAATACCCAAGGCTATAATATAGCCCATGGTTTTTTCCAAAAAATGGCTCCAAAATCACCCCAAATTTTTATTCCATTTTCTGATACATATTAATGTCCTTATGCTGTGTAGAAAGCTTGAGCTGATTCTGACTTCAATTTTTCAAGTTACAGCCATTTTAAGAAAATGTCAAAAATCTGAGAAAATACCCAAGGCTATAATATAGCCCATGGTTTTTTCCAAAAAATGGCTCCAAAATCACCCCAAATTTTTATTCCATTTTCTGATACATATTAATGTCCTTATGGTGTGTAGAAAGTTTGAGCTGATTCTGACTTCAATTTTTCAAGTTACAGCCATTTTAAGAAAAAGTCAAAATCTGAAAAATACCCAAGGCTATACCATGGTTTTTTCCAAAAAATGGTTCTGAAATCACTCCAAATTTTTATTACATTTTCTGATATATATTGATGTACTTATGCTGTGTAGAAAGTTTGAGTTGATTCTGACTTCAATTTTTCAAGTTACAGCCATTTTTACTGATAATTTTTATACAATTATTATTTAATACATTGAGTGTATTATCAATTATAACATTCTCTCTCTTTTCCTTTTTCCCTCCTCCTTCTTCTCTTTTCTCAGTATTTCTGATAACTCGTTCCTTCTGGTAGCCACTCAATCAACTGAAATGTTAGAACGAAACATCATGGCACCTTTCAGCTTCGTTAAAGTAGGTGGAGCCATTAATTAATTAATTAATTATTAAAACCACACCTTCTTTAGAAAGAAAGGCGATTAGTTTTTTCGTTAAATTACGGTAACATTGATGCTGTGCTGGCTAAGATTGTGATGGTGAGTGGTGGGTGGGGCAGTGGGTGTGGTCAGTTTATTGATAATGTTTTGTGTAGTTGGAGAGAGCAGTCAAGCTTGGAAAGAAAGACCAAAATTTACTGGTAAATTAATAATTTAATTATAAATAAATTAATTACATGTACACGTACTTGTATGTACATGTATGTTGCTTTTTTATACATTAATTAATATACAATACTATCCTGAAATATTGAAATACAACTATCGTACAATTTAAATATTACATGTACATGTACATGTACGGTATACTGTAGCCCATTGAATGATCAACTGTTTAAGAATACGAATACTTAAATAACCTTGAAGAATACCTTGAAGTACCTTGAAGAATACGTATACATTACGTACATCATAAACACCATTACTCCTTTATCTGTCTCTATCAATAGATTGAGAATATTGTCCAGAGCAGACAGAATGAGGTATCCTTTAACACCAGCTGGTTAGAGAACCTTTATGAGGAAATTATACTAGAAACACAAGGCAAGGGAAACCTATTATTATTATTATTATTATTGTTGTTGTTGTTGTTGTTGTTGTTGTTGTTGTTGTTGTTGTTTACAGGTGATCGTATTACTCCATTGGTGTCCAATCCTGGTAGGATAATGTTAACTTCTTCAAGGATTTACTTTCAACCTTTCAACAATGTTGAAGTGGTAAGTAGTTGTACATGTAATATTATTAATTATTATTTTATTATTATACACGTTTACATGTAGTTTTTAGTGTA